TCAAAATACAAAATGCTGATGCTTGGAACATATAGGTGACTGGATTTTTTCAATGTAGACAAGGTTCCAAAGAAAACTAAATTATTCACCATATTTAATTCTAGTCAGGGTCAGGTGGAGAGTGTTTGATCACTCAGCAGAATTGTATCCAGGAGAGTTAAAGCTTGTGAAGGATACTTACGGGGGAACCAGGAATTGAACCAACTCATAAGATCATTAGTGAGTTGTGATTATTATTATAATCGGAGTGATTTGTAACAAATATACTAGGATATCTAAATGACTACTGTTTTTAAGGTAGTGTCTTTGAGAGACCATAATGGTTTTTTCCAGTGATGCTGCCACATAGCAAAAACACACACAAAAACAAACAAAACGCATTAAGCCTTCTCTTTTGGAGCCATTTCAGAGTCACTCATGGGAAACATAAGATTTGGGGGGGGGGGGGGGGCGGGGGAAGAAATCCATGTGAGACCATATTCTGGGTTGTTCCAATGACAAAATTTAAAATATGTTGATTTTTCAAGAGACTAGTTTCAAAGCAATAAAAAGATTTTTCTAAGATTTGAGTCATCCAACAACGAAGTGAGCTTTTGAAGATGTGCTATTTTCACTGAAGATGTTCAAGGAAACACCAGATGATCACATACAGAAGTGATAGAAAATTCATGTATTTCAAAGTCCTTTTGAAATCTGAAAATCTGTGATTCTAAAATATCTGAATACTAACTGTATATTATAGTCTGCATGTATTGAGCCCAGGACTATGTTCAAATGTTACCTTACTACAGAGATCTTCCTAGATGAAATTTTACCCCCATAATCTTCCTTCCCTTTTACCCTGCTCTAGTTTTCTCCAAAGAACTTCTATGTAATATGTTCTATATTTACATGTTTGTCTAGATATTGTCTCTCTCTCCCAATTACAATGTAAGCTCTACGGAGGAAGGAACTTTGTTGATTGTGTTCACCTCTCTAAACCAAGCAACTAAATTAGAATCTGGCATGTAACATGTGTTTTGTCAATTGTCCAGTAAAAATTAGCAAAAAAAAAAAAAAAAGATGTTACAGAACGATTACAAACATGAGATAGGGTAAAACACAATTCCACTGTTTCTTTGCACATATTTATATACCCTAAAACTTGCACAATACTCAACATATCACATGTGGCCAATATATAATTGTTGAAAGAATGAGCTCATGCTATCATTTAGACATCTTTTCTTCTTTATTTCCCAAAAGCACATAGATTTTTACATGGTTGTAATCCTTATTCATCTTTTTACCTAAAATGTAATACTACAGCTGAGTGACTCATCTTATGCATCAGATCTGGCTATCATGACTTGATGTCATTGCCAAAAATCAAACCCTTTCAAATAAAAAAGATGGGCCCTTGCTGAGCTGAGGTTACCCAAAAGCATATGCTACAGGATGTAAAAAAAAAAAAAAAAAAAAAAAAAAAATGAACTCATTACTTCTAATTTTACCATCATCTCTCCCATTAGCATCACTGAAGTGTCACAGTTATTTTTGGAGCAGAATACCATAATGAGTTAAGATCAAAATAGTTACCCAAAACATTCTCACAAGACAGCAAAGTCAGATAGACTTATGCACATCTGATTTCAAAACTTATTATAAAACTACAGTAATTAAGACCATGCGATATTACATAAGAATAGATATATAGATTAACAGAACAGAATTGACTGTCTAGAAATAAACCCTTGTATTTATGGTCAGTTAATTTTCCACAAAGGTGCCAAGGTAATTCAATAGAGGAAAGGATAGTTTTTTCAACAAATGGTGCTAGGACAATTGAACATCTGTGTGCAAAAAGATACATTTGGGCCAGGCGTTGTCACTCACACCTGTAGTCCCAGCACTTTGGGATGCTGTGGCGGGGGCAGCACTTGAGTCCATGAGTTTGAAACCAGCCTGGGCAACATGGCAAAACACTATCTCTACAAAAAATAAAAAAATATTAACTGGGCGTAGTGGCTTGCCGTCTGTAGTCCCGGCTACTCGAAGGCGGTGGTGGGAGGATCACCCGAGCCCAAAAGGTAGAGGCTACAGTGAGCTATGGAGTGTAGTGGTGCCATTACACTCCAGTCTGAGCAACAGAGTCAGACCCTGTCTAAAAAATAAAAAATAAAAAAGATGAATATATACTTCTAAAAAATAAAAAAATAAAAAAGATGAATATATACACACAAGTCAAAATGGGTAGGAAACATAAATAAACCTAAAACTATACAACTTTCAGAAGAAAATATGAGTAAATCTCTGTGACCTTGGGTTGGAAAAAAATTTTCTTTTTTCTTTTTTTTTTTGTGAGACAGAGTCTTGCTCTGTCACTCAGGCTGGAGGGCAGTGGTGCCATCTTGGCTCACTGCAACCTCTGCCTCCTGGGTTCAAATGATTCTCCCACCTCAGCCTCTGGAGTAGCTGGGATTATAGGCATCTGTCGCCATGCTCAGGTAATGTTTTTATTTTGTTTTGTTTTGTTTTTTTTTTTTGAGATGGAGTCTCGCTCTGTCGCCTGGGCGGGAGTGCAGTGGCCGGATCTCGGCTCACTGCAAGCTCCGCCTCCCGGGTTCATGCCATTCTCCTGCCTCAGCCTCCCAAGTAGCTGGGACTACAGGCGCCCGCCACTTCGCCCGGCTATTTTTTTGTATTTTTTAGTAGAGACGGGGTTTCACCGTGTTAGCCAGGATGGTCTTGATCTCCTGACCTCGTGATCCGCCCGTCTCGGCCTCCCAAAGTGCTGGGATTACAGGCTTGAGCCACCGCGCCCGGCCAGGTAATGTTTTTATGTTTAGTAGAGACAGGGTTTTGCCATGTTGGCCAGGCTGGTCTTGAACTCCTGGGCTCAAGTGATCTGCCCCCTCAACCTCCCAGAGCACTGGAATTACAGGCATGAGCCACCATGCATGGCCAGAAAAATATTTCTTAACTGTAACACCAAGCAATACAAGAAAAAAAAATTGATAAATTGGACTTGGACTTCACTAAAATTTAAAAAGTGTGCTCTTCAAAATGAACCAAAAGACAAGCTCCAGAATAAAACAAACATACACCTAATAAAATATTTGTCTCCAGAATATATAAAGATTCTTACAACTCAATAATAAGGAGATAATTAACCTAATTTAAAAATGGACATAAGCGAGAGCTTGAGGCTGCAGTGAGCTATGATCACTCCACTGCACTCCAGCCTGGGTGACTGAGCAAGACCCTGTCTCAAAAAAATTTTTTTAAAAGGGGGAGGTAAGATTTGAATACATATTTCACCAAAGAAGATATAAGATGGCCAATAAACACAGGAAATGATGAACATCATTAGTTACTAGGGAAATGAAAATTAAAACTATCATTTGACACCCTCTAAAGTGACTATAATAGAAAGACAATCAATAATAGGTGAGGATGTCAAGAAACTGGAACTCTCATTCATCGTTGATGGGAATGTAAATTGGTGCAGCCATTTTGGAAAACAGTTTTTTACAGTTTCTTAAAAAGTAAATTTATCATATAACCCAGTAATTCTGCTCCTACATAGCTACTCAAAATAAATGAAAACCTGAGGTCACTCAAACACTTGTATGTAAATGTTCATAGAACTGTATTCATAGATAAAAGCTAGAAACCCAAAGCTAGAAACAACCCAAATATTCACCAGCTGCTGAAGGTATAATCAGAATATCATGTACTCTACATGTATTGATAAATGTATTTTTGTTTGCATTAATATTTTTAATAGATTTTACATATCTATAAAATGGTATTATATTTATGAAGTCCTACAAACTGTGGGTTTATTTGAACATATATAACAAAATGGTCATATATACTTTCTTTTTTTAATTTGTGCAAATGTATGGAGTACATAAGAAGATGTGTTGCATATATATATAATACATACTGATCAAGTTGTATATGTAATTTCAAATTCACATCTCTTCCATTTTCAGGCCAGGTACAAATCTGGGCTCAGATTCTAGCTGTCTTACTTCTTAGCTCTGTGCTCCCATGCTAGTAACTTAACCTCTCTGAGTGCGTACTAGTAAAGTATGGGCACTAATGTACCCCTTACAGGATTGTGGAATTAAAGGAGATAATGCTTAGCACTGGAATGGCATAATGTCAGTCCTTAACAAATCATACCCAGTACTATTGTTTGTCTTTTTAGAGTTTTATTTGCAAGTCTAGTTTTTCACTAGTAATCATGGTGAGAAGGAGGAAGCATTTCGTTCAGTGGAGAGAGACACCTCTCTGTACTTTCAGCTCTCTGACTTCTGACGTTACACTTAATCTCTCAATGCCTCAGTTGCCAACATCTATAAATGAGAATCATGTTATTCATCTCACAGGATTTATGATTAGAAAAACTTATTAAAGTGCTTTGTAAACTGCAAAGTACAATAAAATTATGAAATATTATATTATTATGACCTTCTGTCCCCATCCGTAGCACCCACAGTATGTTTATAGAAGAACCAGAATAACTACCCATGGAGTACTGTGGAGACATTTTTCAACCCTAAGATTATAATGAAAAAATCTTTTCATGGCCATGGTGGTGGCGGCAAGTCATTTTCAAAATAAATTTTATTCCCCTGTTGTTTGAATACAAAGTGAGAAGAACTATGTTACTCCTTATCTGAAACACTCTCTGCCTGTCCTCATGAGCTATCAGGCTCAGCTAAATATGGCCCTGGCCAGTATGTTAATAATCCCCACTGGTTCTGAGACCTCCATCCACCACCGATGTGACATTCTTTGTGTTCAAATGTCTAGCTGACGTCTGATGCTTAAAACAGCCCATGCTTTCACCCCTCTCTGCATTGTCACAGCCCTGTATCACCACTCTTAAAAGGCTCCCGCAGCCACTCCTAGCACCAGTTGTTGACCAGTCTGCCACTTGCCTCCCTGCCTGCTTCTGGCTGCCTTGAATGCCTGGTCCTTCAAGCTCCTTCTGGGTCTGACAAAGCAGGGACCATGTCTACCTTTGGCTACCGAAGAGGACTCAGTAAATATGAATCCATCGACGAGGATGAACTCCTCGCCTCCCTGTCAGCTGAGGAGCTGAAGGAGCTAGAGAGAGAGTTGGAAGACATTGAACCTGACCGCAACCTTCCCGTGGGGCTAAGGCAGAAGAGCCTGACTGAGAAAACCCCCACAGGGACATTCAGCAGAGAGGCACTGATGGCCTATTGGGAAAAGGAGTCCCAAAAACTCTTGGAGAAGGAGAGACTGGGGGAATGTGGAAAGGTAGGCTCTCGGGACTTTTCATTGGCTAACCCCACCTCCCCATCACCCCATCCCAAACCTAGACACTTGTTTTCCCTAACTTCTCAATTCTAATCACTTGAATTTTTCTATAACCCATTTATACTTGCTATTAAATCATTTTTTCAGGCTGAAATAATCATGTAAATGCTATGGTCACCCAACGGATCATAATATGTAAAATTCTTAATTGGGGCTTTTTGATTACAAACAGAAAGCTCAAGTGGAAAATAATTCTCAACCAGTGTATGGGATTCAATATTTTGCCAAACATAAGTCTTGTTGGAGCTATAAGTTGGTAATGTTCCTAAGATATATGTGTATGTAAAACATGTATACATTTTTTTTTTCAGTTAAGTACATTTATTCTCTCCTATAAAGACAAAAGTGGGAACACTGGTTGCTTTGACTGTGATAGTAGCTATGGTGAAATAGTTCTGTTCCAACACCAAGAAGGGTGGGGTGGTGGGAAGTACATGACACTGAGAGTCACGGGGCCTTGTTAAGAGTCCCTGCTCTGTTCCCATGTTGTTAGACCTTGAACAGTCACTTCAGGGTTTGCTTTCCCTCTGGACATCGAGGGAGTTAGAGACAGTGTTTCTTTTGTGAATCAAGAACCCCTTTGAAATTTTGATAAGTTATGAACTGTCTTAAAATAGCCCTGGGTTTGTGCAAAATACACCAACTTTTGCATAGAATTTCAAAATGATAACAAATCCTGAAACCCATCTGAGGACTCAGGGGCAGCACAGCTGTATAGATGATCTCTAAGATTTCTGTCTCCTTTACAATGGTGATCCTGAGATTAGTAAATGTGCTTATATCAGAGCTCAGGTCTGTGAATCTCTTGTGTACTGCCCAGTAAACGGTTACTTTGAATTTGCCAAATGAGTCATTACCAGCAGGAAGTCCAAAAGACTACTATTCTCTGGGAAAATAGTAATGATAATAAAGTGTCCATATAACAAAAAAAAATTCTTCCGGAATTATGGAAGAACAGAGGTCAGGAGAAACAGTTTAAAACCCTTGCACTCTGTTAGAATCATCTAAAGTCAAAATGGCCTAAAGCCAATGGCAAGACTTCCACAGCACTAATCTAGGGCTGTTAGATGATCTTGATGATAGGGTTATGTGGGCCACAATTGCAGCAAGATATGTGTGAGTTTTGTCCATGTCAATCATTGCAGGAAGGGTCACTGGGATCCGGCCAGGGTCTGCCAAGGCCATGGTATTGAGCAGCTAGAAGGGGTGTGTTAGAAGGAAGGACACATACAAGTCAGTACTTGGGCAGGTCAATTCCTCCACAACCATTGTTTTAAGAGGGATTTTTTTTTCTTTGATGTGATAATGAGTGTCAAAATAATAATGACATTATTATCACAATTATTTAAAACTCTCTAATAAAACTGGCCAGGTATGGTGGCTCACACCTGTAATCCCAACACTTTTTTGGGAGGCTGAGGCAGGAGAATCACTTGAGCCTAGGAGTTCAAGACCAGCTCTGGCAAATAGTGAGATCTCATCTCTAAAACAAACAAACAAGCAAAAAAAATTAGCTAGGTGTGATGGAACATTAGCAAGTGGTAGTTCCAGCTGCTCAGCAGGCTGAGGTGGGAGGATGGCTTCAGCATGGGAAGTTGAGGTTGCAGTGAGCTACGGCTGTGCCACTGCACTCAGTCTGAGCCACAAACCGAAACCTTGTCTCATTAAAAAAAAGGAAAAAAAAAGATAAAACTGTCTCAGAATATCCAGGCTATACAACCAGTGTATCAATAATCCAACAAAGACTTCAATGTCACAATGACGTGCTAGTGGTGGAAGCAAAGGGCAAAACCTATCGTCAGCCGGACGAACCCACCTGATCCTGCCAAAGGTTTTGCTGATCCCTGCTAATGGCTTATTAGCTCAATTAGAGAGGCTGCTGTGTTGATTGACTTCAGTTCCTTTCTAGGCTAGTTAACTTTTCTCCCAGTACTTTCCCTGCTGGCCAGCTCTCTGTAGTTGCAAGGTGTGATGAGCAGGAGCCTGCTGATGGAGGGTGCAAATCCAATTCCCACAACAGGAAAACCCTCCATGCAGCTGTGGGGTGGCTGGGGGAGCAAGGTAGATGCATAAGTGAAGAGCCGTAAAGTAGGGACCCTGAGAAGGATCGGAGGGTCTTGATTGATTAGCAGGCGGCTGGCTCTGTAAAGGCTTATAAAGAGCAGATGCAACACCTGTTGAATGCCAGCCTTTCTGCCCACCTGGGCTTACACAAACTTACGCCACAGTGGAGCTCCCAGGGACCCTAGAATCCCAATGGTCTAGCTCCCCTATTGACAGTGGTTAAATCTCAGCACAGGTGCCAATGAGTTTCTCCCATTATCTTGCTTCATTCTTAACTTTCTGCACTGGAGAACTGAGACAAGGTGAGGTTAAGAAATTCATTAGAGGTTAACAGAACTGTTAATTACATAGACCTGAAAGTTATGAACATTTCAAAATTGTGGGTGCCCAGTCAGCAGCATCAGCATTACCCGGGATCTTCTTAGAACTGCAAATTGTAGAGCTCCCCTCAATCTGATGCATGAGACACTCTGGGGATGGGGCCCAACAATTGGTGCTCTCACAGGTGATTATGACACACAGTAAAACTTAAGAACCGCTCAACTACAGTTACCTCCTGAAAAACATGGGGGTCAGGCCAACCAACTCCTGCCCCTGCAGCATCCAAAATTCATGTATAACTTTTGACTCCCCTAAACCTTAACTACTAATAGCCTACTGTATACCAGAAGCCTTACCAATAACATAAACAGTCAATTAACACATACTTTGAATGTGATATGTATGTACATAATAGGGAGGCAATCAGGAGAAACGGCCACTCTTCTTATTACCTGATTTGTTTTCTAAGTTTGCTAACATTCCTCTTCTCCTTGTCTAGTCTCTTGACATCTCATCTCCCATCTCCTCATTCTACACCCTCCTTCCCACCTCCATTCTTCAAATAATCAGGGTTAATGCCAAAGCAGTGGCATATAGGAAATCTGTCATAAAACAAGCCCCTAGGGACAGAATATTTTATAAAGTAAGCAAAGTCTGTTTTTTGCATCCTTTCACCTTGCCTCTGTAGACACCTTTTCCCCTTCTGTTCTTCTTTCTGCAGACGTCCCCCACCTAGGGTGACTAATCATCTCAGATTGTCCGGGACTGTCTAGATTTCATGACTAAAATCCTGGGGAAGCCTTCGCACTCAGGCAAACTGGGAGGGCTTGTCACCTTTCTCCTGTGTCTAGTCCTAACTCTCAGCTGTGGTTCACCAATGTCAACTTAGAGCCATTCGGTAAACAAATAATTATTGAGCTCCTACTACATGCTAAGCACTGTGCTAGGTGAGCAAAGCAGACATGGTCCGCTGCTCTCAACAGCTAACCGTCTGCTGGGGAAAACAAGTGACCAAAATAAAGAGTGACAGGTACTTTATTGGGGGCGAGTACAGTGCTACGGGAATGCATTGGAGGGATAATTGGAGGGGATGTCAAAGAAGGCTTTCTGGGAGAGCTATCATTTAGATGCTATATGACAACTCACAGTTTCAGGTATTACCTGTCCAGGTACATTACGAGGGGAAAACAGATCTTGCAGATAGAGCCAGAGGGTCTTTAAAAAACCAAAGGGAATAAAATGTAATGGTGTCATACAAGGCTGTATACCTTGGATTTTGAGACAGGCCCCTTTCCTCCAAATACTAAAACAGCTAAAAATACATACAAACACATGAACACACACAGCTGTACAGGGACTAGAATGATAAGGAATTTGGAGTGGAATGGGGATGAGGAGAAGTTAGCCCACAATTCTTTCCTTCTCGGGTTAATCAATTTGTTTCACTGCTGGACAGGGAAGGCTTCCTGTCTCCCCTCCCATATGCCCGCAGACTTGGCTAGAGCCACACTCTTTTTCTTATGTTGTTGCATTGTGACTTGCAGCCAGCTGCCACCAAACCTTTCTCTCTCTCTCTCTCTCTCTCTCTCACACACACACACACACACACACACACGGATACACACACACAGAGTATCCGTCTCTCTCCCTCCCTGCTCCTGAAGAAGGGAGTAAAAGGGAGTAAATTAAGACTGGACAAGTCATCCCAGGAGTGGCTGACGCCTTCCCCAGGACATCGCTTGGTGCCTGCCACTCCAAAGAGTGGATAACTGGAGGCTATTTTGTGACAGCAACTGGGCAAACAAGCCTGGAGATAAGTGCGGTGTTTTCCAAAGCTAGATCCACATGCCTCAGACAGCGGGCACCCTTGGGGTCAGAAAAAAGTTGCCAATATAGAGAGAAGAATCGGGGCTTGGAGGACAGGGCAGGGTCCCAGAGCTGCAGAAAAGATAAAGAGAAAGGACTAAAGAGACAGCAGGAGAAAAATATCAGACTCTGTCAGCAATTTCTAGACCTTTATTTTTGTAAAAATCAGAAAAGATAGCAAGAAAAACAGAAACAAGGGGTCACTTGGGCTTCTTTGTACAGCAAGTCTTGTAAACAGGAAAGACAAAGATAGAATGAAATGGTGTTTGCCTGAAAGCCTTTCATAATTGATACATGCTAAATAATTTAAGACCATCAGGTTGGGGCAATGGCTTGTTTCAAGATTTTCTACTGTTCTCTGCTGTTCCATCCACTTTACTGGTTAGAATCTAGTGGGTGCCAAGGGTGATTATGTTTCCCACCTGTTCTTCTGCAGTCTGTCTCATTTAACCCTGGACTAGATGGAGGTTTCAAGGTGAGCTTCCCAAAAGGGTGACCTGAATGTGTTCTCTGCATCAAACTGGATTTTGACTTCCTGCTGTCCTGAGCAGCAGCCCTGCCTTTAGATTTCCCTTGCCCAGATAAGGGATAGCTACAGAGGCAGCTCTCAGGTGATTCAGAGAGTCTCTGAATCCCTGCGCCGGCTCTACCGCAGAGGCAGATAAATGCCGGAGGAGCAAATGACAGCTCTGCTTCTGTCTACACTGAGGCAAGGCCTGGCAGAGAGTGGTTGGCTTTTCTCACATCTGCTATGGATGGCAAATTTGGGAATTTTTGAGCATTAAAAAGGGGAACTCATTAACATATTGTATATTTTTGTTGTCATTTGATTGCTTGAGATGGAGAAATACGACAGAGTGATTCCAGAGGGGAGAGTTGAATTTGCTACATTGTAAGTAAATGGAGAGTTAACCAGTAAGAGTCAGTCCTCAGGAGGTGGACAAATTTATCAAGGTTTTCCAAAGCTGAAGTTCTGATTTATTTGTTCAGATTGGCAAAATGATTATATAATTTTATTCAATAAGTTGAATTCTGGATATTCTGTAGAAAACAAGAGAAATGTTTGTAGAAAAAGCTATTGCTCTTTATTGCAATAAAATGTCAGCCTTGGTCATTAGAACTAGACAGATCAGAAGCAGAGGACTGTTAACTTTTTTCATTATAAACTTACGTCACTTGCCATGTGCTACTTTTGCAAGTTAAAAAATGTACTTAAAAATGATATCATACTCTTTAGGTTGCAGAAGACAAAGAGGAAAGTGAGGAAGAGCTTATCTTTACTGAAAGTAACAGTGAGGTTTCTGAGGAAGTGTATACAGAGGAGGAGGAGGAGTCCCAGGAGGAAGAGGAGGAAGAAGACAGCGATGAAGAGGAAAGAACAATTGAAACTGCAAAAGGGATTAATGGAACTGTAAATTATGATAGTGTCAATTCTGATAACTCTAAGCCAAAGATATTTAAAAGTCAAATAGAGAACATAAATTTGACCAACGACAGCAATGGAAGAAACACAGAGTCCCCAGCTGCCATTCACCCTTGTGGAAATCCTACAGTGATTGAGGACGCTTTGGACAAGATTAAAAGCAATGACCCTGACACCACAGAAGTCAATCTGAACAACATTGAGAACATCACAACACAGACCCTTACCCGCTTTGCTGAAGCCCTCAAGGACAACACTGTGGTGAAGACGTTCAGTCTGGCCAACACGCATGCCGATGACAGTGCAGCCATGGCCATTGCGGAGATGCTCAAAGTCAATGAGCACATCACCAATTTAAACGTCGACTCCAACTTCATAACGGGAAAGGGGATCCTGGCCATCATGAGAGCTCTGCAGCACAACACGGTGCTCACGGAGCTGCGTTTCCACAACCAGAGGCACATCATGGGCAGCCAGGTGGAAATGGAGATTGTCAAGCTGCTGAAGGAGAACACGACGCTGCTGAGGCTGGGATACCATTTTGAGCTCCCAGGACCAAGAATGAGCATGACGAGCATTTTGACAAGAAATATGGATAAACAGAGGCAAAAACGTTTGCAGGAGCAAAAACAGCAGGAGGGATATGATGGAGGACCCAATCTTAGGACCAAAGTCTGGCAAAGAGGAACACCTAGCTCTTCACCTTATGTGTCTCCCAGGCACTCACCCTGGTCATCCCCAAAACTCTCCAAAAAAGTCCGGACTGTGAGGAGCCGTCCTCTGTCTCCTGTGGCCACACCTCCTCCTCCTCCCCCTCCTCCTCCTTCCCCTCCCCCTCCTTCCCAAAGGCTGCCACCACCTCCTCCTCCTCCCCCTCCTCCACTCCCAGAGAAAAAGCTCATTACCAGAAACATTGCGGAAGTCATCAAACAACAGGAGAGTGCCCAACGGGCATTACAAAATGGACAGAAAAAGAAAAAAGGGAAAAAGGTCAAGAAACAGCCAAACAATATCCTAAAGGAAATAAAAAATTCTCTGAGGTCAGTGCAAGAGAAGAAAATGGAAGACAGTTCCCGACCTTCTACCCCACAGAGATCAGCTCATGAGAATCTCATGGAAGCAATTCGGGGAAGCAGCATAAAACAGCTAAAGCGGGTAAGTAACCAGAGAACAGACACAGGGGCACAGATACAGTAAGTGAGTTGTCCTCTGTTGCACGGTGGTACCAAAGTCCACCTCTCACAATACTTATCAGTACTTTCAATATTTTAGTATGCGAGAGCAAACACGCCAAGTGTGAAACATTAGGAGCGGGCACAAAAGTGAGCACATTTCCATTTGAGAGGAACGTCTGGGTCACTTTCCCAGCCTCTCAGTCATATAAGGGCCAGGACCATTTTAAGACACTCCAGGACATACATGTCCCAATTCCCTTAAGAAGAAAACCAGGGAATATAATCTAAATTCCAAAAGGATTCACCACTTGTCAAAAATTTTACCACAGAGTTGTGATTGATTTGATACCTAATTTATAACATAAAATGTATAACATGGTAACAAAAATTATCACCATGCAGCAATAATCAACCTATGCTTGAGTTCTTTTCGGAGGATACTGCTAGAGACATATCCTACGGATATTTTTCCCTTATCATGTGTGTTGTTTCATTGAGAGAAAATCCGCTATTTTTGTAGGTGGAAGTTCCAGAAGCCCTGCGATAAAAACACGATCTCTAGAAGAGGATGCAGAACTGTTCAGTGGTATTACACAAAATGCATTGTGAGATGTTTCTAAAATAACTTCTTCAATTCAAAATGATCCCTGACTTTAAAAATAATCTCGCCCATTAATTCCGAAGAGAATCTTAAGAAACAATCAGCATGTTTCTTCTGTAAATATGAAAATAAATTTATTTTTTATGTTGTGAGATTTGTATTGGCAAGAAGCAGTTAATTTAAAGATGCTCTTCCTATCTCTGGATGTGTTAGTAACTCCGACTTGTAATGAGTTCATGAAATGTGCTGTTATTTTTGTAATCTCAATAAATGTGGATTGAAGTTTTTTCCCTTTTTTTTTTAAACCAAACTAATATTTTTCTGTGACTTGATACATCTGTCAGATTTTTGTAATCTCGATACATGTGTATTGAAGTTTTTTCTCTTTTTTTAAAAAGCCAAACTAATATTTTTCTGTGAGTTGATACATCTGTCAGGTGTGTATGTAACATTACTGGATATTAAAAACTATTACATTCTCGCCCAAAAAGGGTTTGGATCCTAAGCATTTGCCTTTCTTTGTTTCCTCTTGTTCAAGAAAATCTGATCAGATCTCTTTCTAAAGGACTGCAAGCAAGAATTATTTTTTATTTTTTATTTTTTTTGAGACAGAGTCTGGCTCTGTTACCCAGCCTGGAGTGCAGCGGCACAATCATACCTCACTGCAGCCTCAAACTCCTAGGCTCCACTGATCCTTCCGCCTCAGCCTCTGGAGTCCCTAGGACTACAGGCATGCACCACCACACCGGGCTAACAATTTGATTTTTTTGTAGAGATGGGGTCTCACTGTGTTGCCTAGACTAGCTTCCAACTCCTGGGCTCAAGAGATCCTCGCACCCGGGGCTCCCAAAGCACGGGAATTATAGGTGTGAGCCAGCGTGCCCAGTAAGAACTTTCTTCAAAGTGAGATAAAAAGTTGTGAAAAGATCCCCATTGGGGTCATTATCATCTTAGATTCATGGATGCTAGACCCAGGATGGAGCTGATGCTTCCATATTTCCAGAAGTCCCATAGATACCCAGATGTCGATTCAATCATTTGTTATAAAAATGAATGATCTGTTGAAGGAATAAAATTGAAAAGAAGTTTCATGGTAGGAAGGAAATAAGTGCTAGAGGAATACTGGAAGATAAGACCCCTAAATTCAAAGCTACATTTTGGCTGATGCTAAGGATGATTCAAGTGGCTCTTTGAACTCTCCTTGGATAAGCCTTAGTCTAGTGGGTCTCTACACAAATCACAACGATGCCAACATTCACAAAATAGACATGGGGACATGGGGCACATGCATTTTTTCCAGCTATCCTTCTACCCCATCACTCAAGAAGTGTCTGAATTCAAATAAGAGAAAGACATAGTGAATTACCTTCACTTCACTCTAGCGCTCCACTTTAATTTATGAAAGTTATAAGTCCCTCTAAAGTCCTTTGTATTAACTATGATTAGTGATGTATCCTTTGTGTCCTACAGATTATAACAGTGGTCTTGGCAAACTCTCTGGGTCACCCAGTACATAATTGTTTGCTTCAGATACAGAGCTTTGGATTATCTCCAGTCAAGAGGATTGTGTTTCACTAGAAAATCTCTCCCATAGTCCTTCAGCCTGGCTCTTTGAGTCTGTTTCTGCTGTTCAACCATTCTCTTATAGAATAACAACTGACATCATCACTTAAAAAGGATCCCAGTGGCCCATGAGCTAGTCGGTGCCCTGATTCCATGTGAGGGAGGGAAGGTGACTGGTATTTTCTGAACTAAGTTGTCTCATGTTTTCACAACAACATTAAAAGGTTCCATTGCAATTTTATAGATGAGTAAACTGAGGTACAGAGAGGGTAAGCCTGGTGTCTCTGACTGTGAAGCTCATGCTCCTTTTGTGTCACTGTACCTCTCTTCTTCCATCCAGACTCAACCTCCCAAGGTTTACTGTTCTTAGAACAGTGGAGATCTTCATTTCCCTTGGTAGAGACGTCACTATTTTCACCTCGTGTTCAAAATTACATTCATTCTTGTTGTTCAAGGAAATAAAAGGTAAAATGTAGGTTTTTAAAAGGCATGTATGTGTGCAGGTGTGTGAATTTAGAACAGAAAGCAAAGGCAGAGGTTCCCTTCCTCTGACCCTGTGTGTGCATGAAGACAGGGCTCTTCTAAGTCAAAGGGTTGTGAGAGGTGAACAGCTTCCACTCCAGTCTGATGAGGCAGAGGAGCAGAAGTTTGCTGATAAACTGGGTCATTGATCAAACCATGCGGAGATCCCAGGAGCGGGGTGTGGCAGCCCTCCTGAATAAAGAGGAAAAGGCTAGTACGAGTATTACCAAGAGCTGGTTAGGCTGGGGAGACTGGTCAAGCCTTCTCACCAGAAGCAAGTGATGAGGAGATACATTTTCTCCTTTGAGAATTTTAACAAGCTGCCTTACTGTGGCTTTCTCTGCCTTAAGAGAGACCAACGTGTACTTACTAGGGACTTCACAAAGTTTAAATGAAGATACAGGCTCTCACATCAATCTAAGAAACAAAGTGATAAAGCACATAATAAGACAAGTATAATATGGTCAGATTCTAAGCGGGCACATTTTTCATTATGAAAAAAGCATTTCTACAACGCGTTCAGAATCCAGAACTGTAAATATGCAAAGTATTATGATGATCATTATTCAGCACAGAACGGGGATCCTGGTCCATCCTCCCTGGAAAACTCATAGAGCTGATATGAAAACTAATTAGTTCATCCTCTATAAAGAGCTTTCAACTCACTGGGAGAGAAACTGTCCAAGAGCAGATGAAGTGTTTAGGCTGTGATTAATGTGCGCATGTTAATCTTTGAAAGTACAGCTCAGTACAGCTCATCCTGATTTGAAACAGGGCCAGGATGCTGAGTCCCTCTACTTTATGAGCCCTGCTGCCACAGGTATTTCATAACTCGATGTCAGCAGGATCTTGATTTAATACCTGCCCTGAGACTGTTGCTACCACTGGGTGAAAGGAAGAGGTAATTACAGGCTGCAGTGTCCCTATGCAGACGCCCTAAAGACGGGGAAATCAATATGCTCTTAAGAAGTTCTCATAACTACTTCCTTTCTCGACACAGTTAAAGCTGCCTCTTCCTTGTTTTTCTGAAGCTCTTAAGGTGGACTTTTATTTCCATAAATTGCCAAATGTATGATATAAAAGACTACAAATTGATCTAAAACTTACAAAACTCAGAAATATGGCAACAATATTGGTGCACTTTACAATCACAAATATTTTCTGAGTGCCTGCTGTGTTCCAGATACTCTTCCAAACACTGGAGGTAAACAGTGAGCAAAGGCAATAGAACCCCTGTCCTCATGTAACTTACATTCTAGTGTGAGGAGGAAGCTTACACTGCTCCTTCATGCATTCCGCATTTATTTATCAAGTGGCTCCTATGGACAGGGCACTCTCCTCTAGATTGGGGAGACCAAGCTGAATTAGAAAGTGTCTTCTATCTCAGAGTAGTGGGAATTTTAAGGAAACCAACCTTTCCAGAAGAGTAAAAATTTTTTTAGTTCACAGGCTGTACAAAAATAACTGTTGAATGGCTTCAGCCTGCGAACCACATTTTATCATAGATCCCTGATCTACAGCAGACTCTGGATCAAGAAAGCTTCACAGAGAATGTGACACTATCCGAATTTTTTTTTTTTCTTTTTGAGACAGAGTCTTGCTCTGTCGCCCAGGCTGGAGTGCAGTGGCGTGATCTCGGCTCACTGCAAGCTCCACCTCCTGGGTTCACGCCATTCTCCTGCCTCAGCCTCCCAAGTAGCTGGGACTACAGGTGCCCGCCACCACGCCTGGCTAATTTTTTTTTTTTCCAGTAGAGACGGGGTTTCACCGTGTTAGCCAGGATGGTCTCGATCTCCTGCCCTTGTGATCTGCCCACCTTGGCCTCCCAAAGTGCTGGGATTACAGGCATGAGCCACCACTCCCAGCAGACACTAATCAGAATGTTTAAACAATAAAGTGACCAGGCTAGGAAAAAAAAGTTTCATGGGTGTGGGGATTGGGAAAGACATTTCAATTTGAGGAAAAAGGCTAGTATAAAAAATGGTTGGAAACCACAGGATTTTATGTCATTCTGTAAAAAACAATTTGGTAAAAAGTTAATATTTTAGTTTTTTCTTCTAGTATTGATAATTTTGGTGGACTAAGAATATAAATATTGTGTAGATTCTCTATGTCCTTTTCTTTTTAGAACTAAAATAGCGTGTGATCATTAAGAAGAATCAGAACATACATATAAACAAAAGAACATAAAAAACCCCATTATCACCTCCACATGGAAGAATTACTGATAACTCTTTAGTGCATATCTTTTATTTAGTTTTTTAATTTTTCTGAGACTCGCTCTGTCACCCAGG